AGAACTAACATGGAAAAAACCAAGCGTAACTCTAATTTTCTGTCGGCTTGTTGTCTGGGCTTTGACTGGATCATTCCAATATATCTAACTTGTTCTTCTACTGAAGCAGGACTTCAACATTGTGTTTAGAATCACTGTCCTGCTGAAAGGGGAACTCCTATGTCAAATCTCCTGATGACTCCAACAGGTTTCCTTTATCAATTGAATTTTTTTTTCTCCATCCATCTTTTCTTTAACTATGACCAGTTTCTCAGTCCCTGCTTGATGAAAATCATCTCCACATCATGACACTGCCACCACCATGCTTCACTGTAGGCACGGTGTTCTCACATGATCAGAGGTTCTAGATGTTTCTTAAATGAATACCCTCTTCGCCCCGTTTAAATATTTGTGGATGACTCTTTTGGCAGATTTGTAATGACATCATCCCTTCATTTTAATAACTAATTTGTTGGTGCTTGGTAGGAAGTTCAGGCTCTTAGGATATGTTTTGGTTATTTTTTTGGAGACATGTCAGGGGAGGAGTTTTAGTGCTCAGAAAGTCAGGTGGGACACAGACACATATGAATTTTCATGTCATGTAAACAGTATGTTAACTGTGTAAACTGCATGTTGTCTATGTGTTGTTTAACTGTTGTTATATATGTTTGTTGGGACACTGATGGGTCTTGGAGAGGAGACGACATCTCCTTCTTGGTTTGGAGTCGATGGACCGGACTTACAGCCACCTGGGGGTGACCTGTGTGGCTGAGTCTGGTGTCTCTCCTCCGGGAGACATCAGGCGGGAGCCTTTAGCTCGGTCTCCAGCTACCCTCCTTCCAGTGGTCGCTCCCTTCTCGAACCCCGGCTGCTGAGTCGGCGTAGCAGCTCAGGACGCCTCCAGTTGCCGGTCACCACCGTTTCTCTGGCAGCTGCTCCCTTCTTAGGATGTGCACTTCTTATCGTGACCGAGATGACATTTTGGGACCTGGACAATAGGTCTCAAGGGAACTGTTACAGGGGAGTTATCCTATCTCCCCAGGTTAATAACCATTAAAAATGAACTCATTATTGATTTATGACCTCATATTACCTGTTGGCTTCAAAGTAACCATACTCATTAATATGTTATTACCTTGTTGCTTTAAAGTAACAAAACTCTCAAGTAATCTGAGAAAAAACCTTTTAAAAATCAATGTCCAGTCATGAATTTGTCTTTATGATGCTGTAAGCAGTTTAATAGGAATTTGCAAGAAAAGCCACATTTGATTATACAGATTAAAAATATTCAGTAATAAATGGTGGTGGTAAAAGTAAAAATCTCTATTATGCTGACCTATCTTCCTAATTAGGTGGTGTGGCATTTTCTGTTAATTTGGGGACAGCGAGACAGGTTGGAGCAGGGTTGGTATTACCTCCATAGAGTCTTCACAGATTGTTGCCTAAAAAGGACTTCGTAGAGCTGGGCTGGTATTAATCTTGGTCTTCGGTCCTTGGACCGCTGGAGGAAAGTTTGTCAGCCGGTCCCAGCTGAGATGCCCTTCGGATCTGCTCTTGCTCCTCTTCTTCCTCGCTGCTTGCTGCTCTTCTCCATTTGGGGGAACGAAGACAAGTTTACTGTCCAAGCCACTTTTTTCGCATTCACGGGATCCCAAGCGATGTGGTGTCCAATCGGGATCCTCAATTCACCTCCCAGGAATGGAAGTTTTTTGTCAAGCTCTTGGTGCCTCAGTTAGTTTATCATCCGGTTTTCACCCACAATCAAATGGGCAATCAGAAAGAAGCAGTCAAGAACTGGAAGATGCACTACGCTGCATAGTACACCAGAACCCATCCTCCTGGTCTACACATTTACCCTGGGTCGAGTACGCACTAAATTCTCATGTTTCTGCCACAGGTCTCTCACCCTTCGAGGCTTCTGTCGGCTATCTCCCTCCACTGTTCCCTACTCAAGAGTCTGACATCTCCGTTCCATCCATCCAACATCATCTCCGCAGGTGCAGAAGGATCTGGAGACAAACAAGAGAGGCTCTGCCACAAACGAGGGAACAAAACAAGAGGCTGGCCGACAAGCATCGTATCCCTGCTCCCCCATGTTCTGTTAGACAGAAGGTATGGTTGTTCACCCGAAACATTCCACTAAGAGAGACTAACAGGAAACTCGCACCCAGGTTTATTGGTCCATATTCCATAACTAAAGTCATCAACCCTACTTCCGTCAAACTACAGTTACCCAGATCCATGCGTATACACCCCACTTTCCACGTCTCCCAGTTAAAGGTCTTTAATGAAAGTCTCCTCAATCCACCATCGCACATTCCTCCGCCTCCTCGCCTCATCAACAACCTCCCAGCGTACACTGTTAGGCGCATCCTCAATGTGCGTCGCAGAGGTCGGGGTTTCCAATTTCTTGTGGACTGGGAGGGTTACGGTCCAGAAGAGAGAAGTTGGATCCCCAGGGCCTTCATACTGGACCAGACTTTGATTGACGACTTCTACCGGGACCATCCGGAGAAACGTCCTTAGATCGCCTGGAGGCGATGTTTGAAGGGGGGGGGGGGTTCTGTGGAGGTTTTGTTTTTCTGTGTTTACTAGTTCTCTTGCAGTTCATGGAAAGTGCAGTGGGCGGAGACTGGATGGACTCACCTGGGAGCAGTTACCTGCTAATTGAGGACAAGTATTTAAGCTGCTTCCTGAGATCCATCCAGCGCTGGTTTATTCAGTCGCCTTGGTACTGAGTAAGACAGCTCCAGCGTATTACAGACAATATATTCTAGCTGACTAACCACACTTGTTTTTATACCCTTGCCTGTGTCCAGGCCCTGAGTCTCTGGTTCCCTTCGTGATTGGATCCCTCTGCAGAAGAACTGTGAGTTCTGGGTCCAATATCCAACCTGGAACCTTTTTGTTGTCCTCCGCTCTGCTCTCTCTCCGCCCTTACAAACTGCTGGAAAGGATCTAAAAGAACAAGGGCTAACTCTGCAAACAAACCTACCACAACAAGCCTCCACCACCTCCTCTCAGAGCCTGTCTCCAGATCCACCCTGCGTAAGACAAACAAACAAATCAATATTCAAAGTCATTTAATTACTCAACACCACCTCTCAATCATTCCTTTTGCCTTTCAGCTTTTCACCGGATTCACCTGTAAATAAACTCACTGAACTTTTATCTGTTGTCTGAGTCATTTGTTTACTGTTGTCTCACATCCAATTTTTGGGGTACTCACAAAACGAACCTTAACAGATTGAAGTCCTGCTGTCAGAGATCCAGACTGGTCTGGGTGGCTATGGTTGCCCAGGGCAGGAGGTACTGTTAGTTTACATCAGAGGTTCTCAAACTGGGGTCCCAGGACCCCGAGGGGTCTGCGAGAGGTATCTTGGGGGTCCTCAAAAAATTTGACTAAAATGTTAATTTGACTTTTATTTTTAAAAATGCATGGAGAACAATGAACTAATAAAACAAATATAATAAACCTACTAAATACACAGTATATTCCCATGGCATTTAGGGGTTGAATTGACAATAAATTATCTTTTAAAACAGCATGGGGTTTATGAGGGGGTCCCTGGAATTATTATTATTTTTCCCTTGTAAGGGGTCCACAGACCCAAATGGCTCAAGAACCCCTGGTTTAGATATGGTACATGCCTGGACACACTACAGCGCATAATAAAAATGTTGATTTTAACACTGGGAAAGGAAATATGTATGAGGACCTGGTTTCAGCTGTAGGCTGGCCCATTCAAATGACAGAGTAAAATAATGCAGAGTCAGGTCCTGATGAAAATGATGTAATGAATTTCATTCCTGAAATGCTTTGCTGAATGCACAGAGAGAGCATTAAACCTGCAATTCAGTCCAGCGCTGGTGTGGTTGTATGACTTCTTTTCATATTCAAACATTCAAGTATTGGTGTACTTTCTATCTGGTCATGAACACGTATAACGTAAACAAACATGTCTAAATTTCTTTTCAGATCAGTTGTGTGTTTATGAAAAGCTTCCCCTTCCCCCTCTTGACCTGTAAAACTCAGCCCCCGCCCAAGGCTCTCCATGCACTGTGGCAGACAGAGTTGCAGGCACTCCATAATTATTGACAAGTTTGATGTAGTTTGCAAGTGGAAAGTATTGGGAAATCAGATGATTCCCCCGAGGCCCTCAGCTGTAATGGAAAGATTAAAGGCAGTGGTCATATCACCCACCCGGTGCTACTCTGTGGCGCACATGTTTGTTTCCAGCTCCTCCATTTTCTCAGAGTTGTGAAGTAACAAAGTACAAATACTTTGTTACTGCACTTAAGTAGAAATTTTGGTTATCTGTACTTTACTTGAGTAATTATTTTTCAGCGTACTTTTTACTTTTACTCACTACATTTTTACACAATTTGTAATTTCTACTCACTACATTTTTTAAATGGTAAGAAGTAGAAAGTCGTTACCCCTATTTTATTCCGAGTTGTTATTACTTTATAAAAACTATCCCGATAAATGGTGTCTCCTGGATAGAGTGAATTTAATTGTGGTTGGATGAGACGTATAAATATATAGAGTTCTGACACCCTTAGCTTGTACACAACCCATCACAGCTGCACACCATTAGAAAAAAATATATATATTTTTGGAGAAGTCACCTCCCATAATTTTCATTTTGGAAAATCTAACTGCTCACTTTTACTCAGTACTTTTACTTTTAATAACTTAAGTAGATTTTGTGTCAGAAATTTACTTTTGATACTTAAGTAAAATAAATATCAGATATTTTAAGACTTTTACTCAAGTAATATTTTTAGAGAAGACTTTAACTTTTACCAAAGTATTTTTATGATAAGATACTTGTACTTTTACTCAAGTATCACTTTGAGGTACTTTATACAACACTGCATTTTCTGCAGACACAGACCTGAGGAAAAGCTCTCCTGTTAATATTCAGGTTTTAATCTAAAAGGAATAACAACAGCTGAGATCCTGGAGGGGCTGAGGCATCACATTTGAAAAGGTCCTCTGTGGGACGTTAGAGCAGTCAGAGCCTCAGTGGGTCAGCTGAGCCCTGTTGTCTTCTGCACCACTGAGCCAGGATCACAATTGAAACTGCTCTGCTCTGCTGGGACCTCCTGCACAGCTTCATCATGTCTCTCAGACTGCTGCCTGCATTCGCCACGGACAACGACGAGGACGACGACGGAAACTTCACCAAATGGATGAGCAGTTACTGGGGTCACGGAGCAGACACGGGCCGCTCCAGAGAGAGAAAACACAGCTTCAGAGGGCCGTCGAAACATCACGTTGATCGAAGAGCATCACTCCCAACTGTGGTAATGTGCACCATCTGCACTCCATCTATCCAGTTTCTGCTTGTTAACTTTTATTTTTGCAATAATGTTGGAAAAAAACTGCAGACATAATTTTCCAAAGTCAGAGATTTCATGTATCTGTTGAGCAATCTTTTTTAAACACATGTAAATCTAGGAACATTTTTGCATAAAATCCTAAATTGTATATACACATTCAGTGTGTTACCACACAATGGGTCTCATGCAAGAACATGTTCGTATTCTTATCCTAAATTTCTCTTACCTTTGTTCATGCCACGTCAGATTCAACAAACTCTTCTATCTTCAGGAAAAGTGTGTAAACGAGGATTGTAAACCGATGAATGTGTATCCAGGTGCTCGTGCACGGGGAGAGGTGATTTACATAATTACTACCCCAAAAAACACCATATAAGGATATACGTTTCCTGCCAAACATACCAGGACGTGTCCATTCATGAGTGACATTGCAAAGTAAAAACTTTATGAGTTCAGAGATTGAAATTCTGCTCTCAGAGATCCAGAAAAAAAAAGTAATTTTTAGCAGTGTCAGCTGTGAAATTTAAGGATCTGCTTTAAACCCAAGGAATGAAATGACGACTGCTGTTAATGTCGTGTCTCTCGTTGGTCGTACAGTCACAGAAATAAAAATCTAAATCATATTTATCTCTCTATGTAGTCCTGCTCCGGTTTTTCTTTGGTCAAATATTTTTAATTTCAGTGTAAACAACTGTAGGGGTCACCTCGAGTGAAATTATCAAGGAAACTGTCATGGACTCTCAGTCCTCTGATGGGCCTTCGAATGGACAAAAACTCTGTTCCACTTAGAACTGTATTTAGGCCACCTCAGGCTGCCTTAAGAGACACTCTCTTCCTCCTAAATCAGATAACAAACAGAAGAATCTTCTCATATTTGATTTATTGAATGCTTATCAAAGTTACAGGAGAAAAGAGGACAGATCTCTTTTCTCCCTCAGTATGATTTCAGCTATGTATGGTTTTTCTGTGGATAAAATCTTATTTAACTAAAACAATCTTTATGGTTTAAGTTGATGAAATATCAATGTTTTACTTGTCTGAATCATATTTGCAAAATGTTTTGAACTTCAAGCAATTCATTTTTCTTTCAGTTATGTTTTAAATAAATGCTCATCTGATAATGAAATGGGTCATGAAATGTGTTGTTCTGAACCACACAGCAGCAGCAATAATCTTTGTTTTGTTTCAGGAGGCACAGCGAGTTCTGAAACTAACACTTTCCTTGATAACATATTTTCTAATCGAACCTTCCAGAGGGCGGAATTTAGATTCTCTAAGCTTTTAGTAACTAACAGTTTCCACCCGACCCGCAGTAAGGTGACAGACCGCCGTCAGTCACTTTTGACAGCTAGATTCTCTCCGGGGAATCAAAAGCTGAAAACTGTGTCAGGTTTGGCCCCTTCACGCCAACGGGGAAACCTTACAGTGTGGAAAACAAACGCCTGGTTTATCCACTTCACAAACTCTCCAGACGGAAGTTTTATTCTGAAACCTGGGTTCCAGTCGAGGCTTTGGCTTCTTCTATGGCTGACGTGGACGTAAACGAGTCAACAAAACACGCCTTCGGGTCCCCTGTTTGACTATCTTGAAGACAGATTTTCCAGCAGCACCCCCACCTACCTGACAGGTGACAGAACATCATCTCAAGGTAAACGGTAGAAAATGAAATGTTGGATTTACTTAACCATGTTATGTTACCTGGTTTGACTTAATTGAGTTGAGTAAATTCAAAGCAAAATACCAGTTTTTTAGCCAAATAACATGAGTATGTTGCTTTGAATTTACTCAACTCAGTTAAGTGGAACCAGGTAACATAACATGGTTAAGTAAATCCAACATTTCATTTTTAGAGTGTAAAAAGCTGGCTGTGTGTTTGACGTCGATGTCTGACCGAAGCTGAGCATAGAATACTTTGTCCTTCTGGTTAAAACCCACGTTATTTAAGATAAAGTATAGAAAAGCTAACATCTTTCTTCCTCCTTTTTCTGAAGCTCTTCTTTGCCAACCCTAAGATAAACAGCCTCAAATGTTTGGTGTTTAACATCTAAACTGACGTTTGTGTTTCTATTTAAGTGTGGTTAACAATTAAGAAGTTTAAAGCTTGTTATTGTTGGTTCCAAAACTTAGGAAATTTATTGTTCACAATCAAGTGTACTCTAGTAATTTTGTATGATTTGTAAAATAAATGATCACATATTATGGTTCAAATCAACATTCACTGACTGAGAGTCACTTCTTGTGTCCATTCATTTTTGTACTAAAGGAATGTTTACCCAAAATAAAAAGTGATCCCTTGCTAATTAAATTGGTCTTATAACCTTATTATAAGAAGTGTAAGATAAACCCTTACACAACTGTGTTACATAGTTTTCATTTATTCAGAAGAGCAGTTGTGCACCGCAACCTCCCCCCCGCACCCTCCATCGCAAGTGTCAGAGGCTTTTCTGAAAAAAGCATTTTAAAATGTCTCAAATCTTCAATTAACCTCATATTAATATTGTAGTGCTATTCAACAAAATTGATAGCCAGTTTATTTTAATTTAACCAATTTATGTCGTTAGTCTACATTATTACATTCAAAATATAATTCTAATTCAAACAGAATACCCCCTTGTCAACAAATTTATAGAGTGTCATATTTTCAACTCGAAATATCTTCAAACTAATGAAATATAAAGTTATTAATGAAGAAAACCCGTCTGGATAACAGCAGACTGACTGCTCGTAAAATATACGACAGGTCTGGACCACTCGTGAAT